TTGTATGTTACCAATAACAAAAAAAAAAAAAAACTTTTAAATTTAAAAATGGAGGAAATGCCGAAATGTTTGTAGTAAATTTACTTTTTTTTTTTTTTTCGTATAATTTTATTTTCACGCGTGTAAATTAATAAGTAATAATAATAATAATGATGATGATGATGATGATAATAACGAACGCGCGTGTTCACATCGAAAAATCAGGAATAAGTGGTTTAGAAAAAAAAAATAGAAAAAACGAAAAAAAAAGGGTTTAATTGTTTGTGTTCGGGTAGTAAATTTTATTGTGTGCACCATACTATTATTATTATTATTATTATTACTATTATTATTATTATTATTAATATTACTATTACTATTATTAATTGTGGTTTTAGTATTAAATTTTAATTTTTTTTTGTCTTTTAGATGTAAAATAATCATAAGTTTAATTTAGTTTTTTTTTTTTTAATTAAATTTCGATCTCATTTATTCATTACATTTATGTATAGTATAATAATAATAATAATAATACTGATAATGATAATGATGATAATGATAATAGAAATATTAGAGAAGGAAAAAAAAAGAAATCGTAAGACGTCTTCGTTGGAGAGAAAAAATAAAAAAAAAGCGCGAAAAGTTTTTTTTTTGTGTGTGTGTTTGTCGACGAACCTGAAATAATTTTTAGGTTTTTTTTCTGTAATTTTTAGTTTTATTATTATTATTATTATTATTATTATTATTATTAATAATAATCATTATTATTAGTCACTTTCGTACGAATTAAAAAAAAAAAAAAAAAAAAATTTTCACGATGTTTCACGTTTGTTTTTATTCTTTTATTTTCTTTTCGATTATGTATGTGTTCTGTCGTTTTTTTTTTTACACCTCTCCTCCCTTGTCCGTTCCTCCCCCTCCCCACGTCTCCCTCGTGTCGGAAAATTCATTATTATTATTATTTTTTTGATTTCCGTTTATTTTATGTAGTATTTCCGTTAGTTCCTCGCTCATATCTAGTCATCAGAGGGATCCTCCTTTTTTTTGCATCCTCCGACTCGAAACCGTTTTTAAGGTTTTTTTTTTTCATTGCGCTTTATATCATCTAGGTACCGAAATATTAAACGATAATAATAACGATAATAATAAATGCTACATAAAAAATTTC